CTGCACGGATATGACTATTCATTTCAAGTCAAAGTGACTAGCTATTCCAGCTTTCCCATTTCATAGGAAACAATCATGAGTTAAGAGAGGTCTTGTCTGGATCAATGATGACAGCAAGTCTCTGAGGACGGTGATCGACCCGTGACTATGCCAATCTGAGCTCCAGATGGGAGGTCCTCTTGACAACAGTGATCTTTCCTGAAAATGGCCAGCAATCTTCAATTTTGAAACCTAAGAGATAACTATGCAGACTGGCTTTCTCTCCCAAATTTTAAGGGAGCAATATTTTTTGTGTGGCAAATGAGTCTTATAATTTGAAACATCACTTTATGTTATACTTACAGTAATACTAATAACAAAAACTGCCCATCATGTTTTCGACCATTGACTAATGCAAGATTGGAATAAAGAACTAAAACATGTGGAAGCAGAGAAATCATAACTGAGCATCTCAAGGGCCCTGCCCTGTGACTTTCCAAATTTGGGGAGAAAAAAGAAGATATGTAGGATTCCCTGCCAAAATTATGGAGAATTTCAGTGACAACAGTTTGTGTTTCCTGTCCTCCATTACCTGCAATGGGTTATAATATTCCATGTTTCTAGAATATTGTTATTCTTTAGTTTAAATAGAACATATCTTTATGCCAGCAATCATCTCAACATCCAGACACCAGGTGGTTCCATTTCCCCATTGTGACAGAATAAGAACCCATATTTTACTATCATTGTAACATATGGAGAATATTGTTCTTTTTGAATATGAGATGTACATAAAAGAGAACTGTTTTTCAGAAAAGGTGGAAAGAATGATCTTTAAATTTTTTATTATGTGAGAATTTAAAGAAGAGCATATTGTATACTCACAACTTTTCCTTTCCAAACAGAAAGAAAGCCGACTTGCACAAAGAACTTCACTCACATCCATGCATCGGGAGAACACTCCCATGATTACAGAAACTAAGGTAGTTGCACACAGAACTTACCGAAGGAATCAGACACACTCCATTTCTCAATTGTCACACTGATGAATCACAAACCCTGTAATAAGATCCATCCAAATAAAGATGAAAGAATAATTTTTATACGTTTCACTGAAAAACAATAAAAGGAAATCTTTAGGTGCAATTACATGTGTAGAATGAATATGTGTCTGTAAATTTTTTAATTTTAATTTTAAATAGCTTGTTTTACATGTCAATCCCAGTTCCCTCTCCCTCCCCTCCTCCCGCACCCCTCATCATCTCCAGCCTCCCACCCTATTGCCAATTCCTTACACATAGTGGATATCTAGAGTCTGTAAAAAGATCCTCAACTGATATTCTTGCCATAAAATAGTGCTAATGTACAAACTTATCACACAGAAACCACCCTGGGAATCCATGTGGGCATTTATTAAAAAGTCAAAGCCACTAGCTATTTCAGAGTTGCCATTTAATTATAAACACACATGAGTTTAAAAAGGGCTTAACTGTATCCATGATGACAACAAGTCTCTAAGGATGGTGATCGACTCGTAACTATTCCAATCTGAGCTCCAGATTGGAGGTCCTCTTGACCACAGTGATGTTTCCCAAAGTGTCTATCACTCTTACATTTTGAAGCATAAGACATAAATGTGAAGACTGACTTAGTCTCCCATATTTTATAAAAACAAAACGTTTTGTGTGGCACACGTCTTATACTATGATATATCACTTCAGGTTACACTAACTGTAATAATAACAGCAACAAACTGTCCAGCAAGATTTTAAGACATTGAATAATACTAGATTGAAATAAATAATTAAAGGGTGTTGATGCATTGAAATCAAAACTGAGCATCTCGTTGGCTCTGCCCTGTGACTTACCATAATTGGGGAAAAAGGAGAGATTGAAGGATTACCATGAATTTCAGAGACCATAGTTTGCTCTTCTTGTCCCCAATTACCTGCAATGGGATATAATTTTCTGTGTTGCTAGAATGTGTGCAATTCTGTAGTTTAAACTGAACATACATTGATGGCAGCAATCATCTCATCATCCAGATACCATGTAAATCCACTTCCCCAAGTGACAGATAAGGATCAACATTTTACTATCATGGAAACATATGAAGAATATTGTCCTTTATTGAATAGAAAGTGAATTTCATAAGAGAATTGTTTGTCAGAAAAGTTGGGAATAATGATCTTCAATTCTTTATAACATTTAAATTTAAAGAAAGCTTATTGTATACTCACTCCTTTTCTTTTCCAATCATAAACAATGTCAACTTGTACAAATATCTTCACTAAGACAGATGCCTCTGTAGAACACTTCCATTATTACACATACCTAAGCAGTTGCACACTTACTCTAGAGAAGGAAGCATATACAATCTGTTTCTCAATTGTCACACTGATGAAACACAAACCCTATGTTCAGGTTCCTTGAGATTTTTCCCAATAAAAATGAAAGGAATTTTTTTTAATGTTTCACTGAGAAACCATGAAAGGAAGATTTTAGGAGCAATGAAATTGTTAAAATGAATATATGCACATTACAATTTTTAGTGAAAACGAACCTCATTAGACAACCTTGTCATAATCTAGTACTTATGAACACAGATATAACACAGAAACCATCAGGGGAATTCAAGGTTTCAGTGCACTTGTCATATTCTTATAGCAAATTACTTCCTTTCATTGAATACTTGCTTACCTTCTCATTCACATGTCAAATTTCCGAATTTTTTGTACAATATCTTCATTATTAATAGCATCTTGAATCCAATTACTGTGCAAGGCTTCAGCACCACCACAATCCATAAACCAATGATATAAAAACCAAAAGAAGTGGTGCCTTTATCGAAATATAATATTGACAGAAATATCACAAGGAGCTCCTGGGCAACTTTCTCTTAACGCATTCTTATTATCATCTTACCCCAGGCCTGGAGGAAATCAGACAACATATACCTTTGGTATAAATGTCCTGTAATATCTGTGTTGGTGGTCAACTTGCTCTATAACATTATGCTAAACAATATAGTATGGACCGAATTCCAAAGAATGTATAATTTATTGCTATTTTGTTGCAGGTTGGAAATGCAATGGCCTATTACCTTTCAGGCTGAAGAGGTAAGCATTGATTAATATTCATTAGAGAATGTTTTTTCCATTATTGATGTGTTTTTCTTTTTTTTTCGTTTTTTATCAATTTTTGTTTAATACCAACTTCAATATTTCAAACTTAGCCACTTAATCCATGTGAATTTTCTCTTTTTAGGAATAATGCTGGCTAATTAGACATGGATCATTTCTGCTCATGTCTACTTTAAGGTGCTGAAAATTATGTGTTAATTCTGTATGTGGTTCAGGATCTCTTTTCAGAAACTGAGCAATAAGCCAGTTGTACAGTCATGACCATTCATTAAAAAATCAAATCCAATAGCTATTCAAGCTTTCCCAGTGTATTGGAAACACTCATGAGTTAAAATAGGGTTTATCTGGATCGATGATGACAACAAGTCTCTGAGGACGGTGATCAAGTCGTAACTATGCCAATCTGAGCTCCAGATGGGAGGTCCTCTTGACAACAGTGATGTTTCCCCAAAGTGGCTAGCAAACTTCCATTTGAAGCATAAAAGATAACTGTGCAGACTGGCTTTGTCTCCAAAATTTTACGGGAACAGCTATTTTTTCTTACAATTACAATTACAATTACAAGTGATGTGTTTGTCCGAAAAGTGTGGAAGAATGATCTTCAATTTTCTTTGTCATATTGTGAATTTAATGAAGAATGTATTGCATACTCACATATTTTCCATTCCAGACAGATACAACACAGACTTGCACTAAGAAATTCACTCAGGTCCATGCTCCAGAGAACACTCCCTTGGTTTCACAGACCTAGGTAGTGACACACTCCATTTCTCAGTTGTCACACTGATGAAACAGAAACTCCTATACTCAGAATCCTTGAGATTCATCCAAATAAAGATGAAAGAATAATATTTTTATGTTTCATTGAGGCACATTGAACGGAAGTCTTTAGGAGCAATGACATGTGTAGAAGTAATATATGCACATAAGAATTTTTAATTTAAAGGTACCTCAATAGAGAACCTTGCCATAATCTAGTGCTGATGTTCACATATCTCACACAAAAAGTATCACGGGAATTAAAGTTTGCATTGCACTTTTCAAGTTCTTATAGAAAATGCCTTCCTTTCACAGAATAAATTCTTACCTTTTCATTTAGATGTCAAATTGCGGAATATTAAGTGAAATATATGCATTAGAGATGGCATCTAGAACGTAGTTGCTGTGCAAGGCTACAGCACTACCCCAAGGAATAAACCCAGTGATGATACACACCAAAGAACTAGTGCCATTCTCGTACTATAATAATTGCAGGAATATCACAAAGAACTTCTGGCCTGCTTTATTTTAGCACATTCTCATTGTCATCTTACCTCAGGCATGGAGGAAACCAGACCAAATGTATGTTTGGTTTAAATGCCCTGTAATCTCTGTGTTTGAGAACAATTTGCTCTATACAATTAAGCTAGACAATGTAGTCTGGACATAATTCAAATCAATGTATTGTTTATTTCTAATCTGATGCAGGTTATAATTGCAATGGCCTCTTACATTTTAGGCTGGAGAGGTAAGCATTGATTAATATTTGTTAGATGATGCTTTTTCCATTATTGATATGTTTGTATGTTTCTTTATGATTTTATTTTTTGTTAATACCAACTTCAATATTTCATATTTAGCCCCATAGAATCCATGTGAATTATTCTTTCTTAGGAATAACACTGGAAAATTTGACATGGATCATTTGTTCTGCTCATATCTGCTTTAAGATGAGGAATCCTATGTGTTAATTCTGTATGTAGTTCAGTAACACTATTGAGAACCTGATCAATAAGCCAGCTGCACAGTTGTGAACATTCATTTCACAGTCAAAACCACTAGCTATTCCAGCTTTCCCATTGCATTGGAAATACACATGGGTTAAAACAGTGCTTATCTGCATCGATGATTACAACAAGTCTCTGAGGAGAGTGATCGACTCGTGACTATGCCAATCTGAGCTCCAGATGGGAGGTCCTCTTGACAACAGTGATGTTTACCCAAAGTGGCTAGCACTCTTCCATTTTGTAGCATAAGAGATAACTGTGCAGACTGTCTTTGTCTCCCAAATTTCATGGGAACAACTATTTTTGAGTGGCAAACACATCTTATAATTGGATTAATCACTTTATGAAACACTAACAGAAATAATAACAGCAACAAAATGTCCAGCAAGTTTTTCAACAATTGACTAAAGCCAGATTGAGGTAAAGAACTAAAACACATGGAAGAAGTGAAATAATAACTGAGCATCTCAAGGGCCCTGTCTTGTGACTTTCCAAAATTGGGGAAAACGAAACAATTGTAGGATTCCCTGCCACTGTTATTGACCATTTCAGAGACCACAGTTTGCTGTTCCTGCCCCCAATTACCAGCAATGGAATATAATTTTACATGTTGCTAGGATATTTGCTATTCTGTTGTTTAAACTGAGCATATCTTGATGGGAGCGCCCATCGCACCATCCAGACAGGGCATCTTGGACTCTGTTGATCTGCAAGGCTTCATCACTTCCCCAATCAATAAACCCAGTGGTGATACAACCCAAATGAACTCTAGCCTTGCCTGTACTATAATATTGACAGAGCTATTACAAAGATCATCTATCCTCTTTTCTCTTAACACATTCTCCTTATCATCTTACACCCACTATGGAGCAATTCAGACCAAATGAATCTTTGGTATAAATGACGTATAATCTCTGTGTTTTAGGACAATGTGCTCTATCAAAACAGAATTCCACTCAATATAATTTTTATTTCTATTTCTATTTTGTTGCAGGTTAGATTTGCAAATTCCTCTTTGCTTTCATGGGGGTGAGTTAAGCAGTGGATCCTATTCTGTTTTGCAGATAACTCCATACTATGACTGGTGACATCAGAACCTGGCATCTATGAGTTCAGGGGTCCAAGGAATAGAGTTTGAATGATTTCCTTGTCTTATTCCTTATGTTTCGATTGTGCAATTTTAATCACATTTTTCCCATTTCGGTAAATCGACATTAAAGTTCACTTAGCCTGGAATTCCCTCGTGAAGTCACCAAAAAGATCATCTAATTTTACTGATCCCTCTGTGCTTCTTAATTGAAAAGATGCCTGCTCTGTGAATGGCAGTGTCAATCATCTCTTTTAACCACCTCAATCTCAAGCCTTCTTTTCTATTGTGAATGTGACATCTTAATTATTAAAGCATCCCATGATTTACTATCTCATTCTTCTTTAAACTGGGTTTCTCAGATTCCCATAACCTTTCAACATTTCCTGCTCCATAACTCTAAAAAATATGAAGGGGAATATTGGATATGAATACCACTGAGTACTGAGAACACAGTATAATATTTAAATTTTCTTCATCTACCTGTGTTCTCTGACAATGTTCTTTCAGAGTTTTAATTATTTGATTTCTTTGCCTATTGAAGGGGTGAATATGAGTATATTTTTATGGAAAAGCACTCATAAGTTATATTTGCAAATGTAAGGCCTGAGATAAATTGTACTGTGCTTCTTCACAAAATTGGAGCATAAGGAGTACCTTGGAAGGCTCATGAACAGACAACTTAGCCAGATTTGTGGTTACATAAAAAACTTTTCTATTTGGAGGTTCCTTCAACTTAACTTTTGGAAATCAGAGGATAATTAAAAGATGGTAGTTGAACATAGACAGACTGCATCCAGACAGAAACACACAAACCACAAGGTCTGTACTGAAAATGATTCTGATAGTACTCTTGACATTACTTACCAGATACACATCCTTGAAGGTGATGGCAGTAGGATACACATTGCAGGATTCTACATAATTCTTACATTTGTTTGACAAACTGAAATGACCATAATGTATTTTGAGACACAGGACAAACTCAATCGTTATGTCACAGATATGTGCATGAAAATATAAGGAGCTGGGCGGTGGTGGCGCACGCCTTTAATCCCAGCACTCGGGAGGCAGAGGCAGGTGGATCTCTGTGAGTTCGAGGCCGGGCTGGACAGATAGCCTCCAAAACAGTACAGAGAAACCCTGTCTCGTAAAAAAAAAAGAAAGAAAATATAAGGGATATCAGGAGGACAAAGATGAATGTAGCAACAATTTCCAAATGAATAGTTTATCACAAATTCCAAAAGCTTGTTTTCCACTTAAAATTTATTAGAGAATGACGTTTTCCATACTTGATGAGTTCTGCTTTTTTGCTTTTTTTCTTTTTTATAGATTTTTATTTAAAGTAAAAACAATCTTATTTTAAATACCAATCCCATTTCCTTCTCACCTGTACTATACTTTGAACTTCTTTTTATCTTTCCCAATACTTTTCATGTCTATATATGTATTAACATGGTATAATATTATGTTAAATATGCACTTGTTTATTTATTTGTCATTTGTTACTTTTTAAACATTTTTACTATATATTTAAATTATAAACAAGCTTGCTGTCCATGTCAGTCCCAACTCTCCCTCACTCCCCTCAACTGCAACCCCCTAGCTTCCCAGCACCCCACCCAATCACCCACTCCATTCCTCAGGGGAGGTAAAGCCCTCCATGGGGGATCTCTTGATTCTTTCACTTTGTACAGATGAGGGCTGAGGCCCTCCCCAAAATGTCCAAATTGAGAAAGCATCCTTCATTGTGGGATGTGTTCCCAAAGTCCATTTGTGTGCCAGGGATAACTATTGATCTACTACCCAAATAAGCCCATAGATTGCCTGAGGCTCTTCACTTACACCCACATTCAGTGGGTCTGATAAGTTCCAATTTGGCCTCTTAGACATCAGAATAGGGTCCAAGATCTCCACCTTGATCAGGTCAGCTGCTTCTCTGGGATTCACAAGTCCAGTCTTCTTTCATTTTTCTTAGCATTTCATCTATTTTTTGTGTGAAGTCCACTTGAATATCTTAAATAGAGGCTCATAAAATCTGTGAATTTTCTCTTTCTTAGAAATAACGCTAGGAAATTAGACATTGATCTTTTTGCAGTTCATATATTCTTTGTAATGTTGGAGCCCATATGATAATTCTGTATATGGTTCAATACATCTATTCAGAACCTGAGCATAAAGCCAGCAGACAGACAGTTGTGACCATTCATTTCAAAGTCAAAGCAAATAGCTATTCTAGCTTTCCAAATGTTTTGGAAACACTCATGAGTTAAGAGAGGACTTGTCTGTATTGATGATGACAAGTCCCTGAGGACTGTGATCGACTCATGACTATGCCAATCTTAGCTCCAGATGGTAGGTCCTCTTGATTACAGTGATGTTTCCCCAAAGTGGCTAGCACTCTCCCATTTTAAAACACAAGAGATAACTACACAGACTAGCATTGTCTCCCAAAATTTAAGGGAACAATTTTTTGTGGCAATCATGTCATATAGTTTGATATATCATTTTATGTTGTCCTAACTGTAATACTAAGATCAACAAACTGTCCACCATGTTTTAAGCCATTGACTAATGCTATATTGAAACAAAGAATTAAAAGATGTGGAAGCAGTGAAATCATAACTGAGCATATCATGGGCCCTGCCCTGTAACATTCCTAAATTGGGGAAAAAGAAGATATTTTAGGATTACCTGCCACCATTACCAAGAATTTCAGGAGCCACAGTTTGCTCTTCCTGTTCCCAATTACCAGCATCAGGATATAATTTTTCCATGCTGCTAGAACATTTGTTACTGTGTACTTTAAACTGGACATATCTTGATGGCAGTGGTCATCACCCCATCCAGAAAACATACCAATCCACTTCTACATTCTGACAGAATAAGTACAAGAATTTATCTATCATGCTAACATATGGAGTCTAATGTACTTTTTGGATGATGAGGTACACATCACAAGGATAGTGTTTGACACCAAACTTGGGATAATGATCTTCAGGTTTTTATAACATGTGAATTTAATGAAGAGCATATTGCACACGCACAAACTACAGGATCCAAACAGATAAAACTCCTACTTGCACAAAGCACTTCACTCAGATTGATGCATCAGGAGAACACTCCCATGAACACATAGACCTATATAGGTACACACAGACTTGAGAGAAGGACACAGACACACTCTGTTTAAAAGTTGTCACACTGATGAAACACAAAACCTATATTCAGAATCTTTGGTATTCATCCAAATAAAGAAGAAAGAATATATGTTTTATGTTTCAGTGAGACACCTTGAAAGGAAGTCTTTAGGAGCAATGACATTTGTTGAATGAATATGTGCAGATAACAATTTTTAAAGAAAAGGAAACTCAGTAGGTAACTTTGCCCTAATCTAGTGCTAATGTACACTTTTCTCACAAAGAAACTATCATGGGAATTCAAGGTTGCAGTGCACTATTCATGGTCTTATAAAAAACGTCTTCCTTTCATAACATAATTGCTTACCTTCTTATTTACATGTCAAATTGCTAAATATTTTGTAAAATATCTGCATTAGGAATGGCTTCGAGAATGCTGTTGCTGTGCAAGGCTTCAACAACACACTAATCAATAAACCCATTGATGATACTCACCAAAGGAAGCCATGCCTTGCTTGCACTATAATATTGACTGAAATATCACAAACATCATTTGGCTTCCTATCTCTTAACATATTCTCATTATTATCTTACCACAGGAATTGAGGGAGTCAGACAAAATGTACGTTTGGTATAAAAGCCCTATAATCTCTGTGTTTGAGGAAAACTTGCTCTATCAAACCAATCTAGACACTGTAGTATGGACAAAAATCCATTCAATATATTTTTTATTTCTATTTTGTTGCAGGTTAGAATTTCAAGGCCTCTTACCTTTCAGGCAGGAGAGGTAAGCATTGATTCCTATTCTGCTGTGCAGATTCCTCCTTTCTATGACTGGTGATTTCACAATCTTGTAATGTATGACTTCAGGTGACCAAGGAATAATTTTTCTATGATTTCCCTGTCTTGGCCTTTATATTTTGATAGTACTATGTTGATCACATTTATATCATTTCAGTCCAATAGCATTCAAACTCATATAGCCTGAAATTGCCTTGTCAAGTCACTGAAAAGTTCTCCTAATTTTACTGATCCCTCTGTGCTTCTTCATTGAAAAACTCCTGCTGTGTGAATGACATTTTAATTATAAATTTTAACCACCACTATCTCAACCTTTCTGTTCTAGAGTGAATGTGCCATCTTAAATCTTTTTTTTTCAAGGCAGGTTTTCTCTGTATTGTTTTGGAGATTGTCCTGGAACTCACTCTGTAGACCATGCTGGCCATCGAACTTACAGAGATATGGTTGCCTCTTCCTTCCGAGTTCTGGGAGGCATCTTAAATCTTAGTGTCTCCCATGATTCACTATCTCACTCTTCTTTAAACTGGGTTCCTCAGAATCCAATTTCTACCCAACATTTCCTGCTCCCTAATTCTGGGAAAAATGAGGGGGAACATTTGATATAAATATCCCCGGAGTACTGAGAGCATAGTTTGTGATCTCTGACAATGTTTTTTCAGAGGTTTCACTCTTTGTTTTCTTTGCCTGTTGAAGGGGTAACTCTGAGTATATTTTTATGGGAAAGCACTCATAAGTTGTATTTTACAATTTACAAGTTACAAGTGCAATTGCCAAACTTTCTGGAAAATAACTGTGTTAGGAAGGACATCTAGAACGCTGTTGTTGTGCAAGGCTTCAGCACTACTCCAAGTAATAAACCCCATGAACTAATGCCTTGCCTTAACTATCTTAATACATTTTTAAATATCATAATGATCATCTGGCATTCTTTCTCTTAACACATTCTCATTATACTTTTACAGCCTGGTACAGAAGAAGTCACAACAAATATGTCTTTCTTATAGATTCCATGTCCTCTCTGTGTTTGAGTACCACTTCTTCTATCATTTCTTGCTTGTTTGATGACGCTTTCCTTTAGCAATTCATGCTAGACATAGTAGTCAGATCACAATTCCATCTGTGACATATTTTATTTCTATTTTATTGCAGGTTATAATTGCAAAGCCCTCTTACCCTTCAGGTGGGAGAGGTAAGCATTGTATCCTATTCTGTTGTGAGGTACCTCTTTACTATGACTGGTGATTTCAGAACCTTGGGATATATAACTTTAGGAGTCCAAGGAATAGTTCCTTTTGATTTCCATTTCTTGCCACTTATGTTTTGACTCATGCCATCTTAATCACTTTTATCCCCTTTCAGTACATTGGCATTCAAGGTCAAATACCCTGGAAATCTCTAGTCAAGTCCCCGAAATGGTCACCAAGTATCATTGATCCCTCTATGCTGCTTCATTGAAAAGACACCAGTTATGTGAATGACATTTTGTATTATCCATTTTAATCACCTCAATCTCAAGCTTTCTGTTCTAAGGGAATATGCCATTTTAAATGTTATGTCTCCCATGAATTCCTATGTCATTCTTCATTAAATTGTGTTCCTCAGACTCCCATTTCCACCCATCATTTAATGCTCTCTAATTCTGAGAAATACAAAGGGGACCATTTGTTATGAATATTAAGGTTACTGAGAATCCCGTTTTGTATTGGACATTTTTTATTAATCTGGCTGCGGACTCTGACAATGTTCTTTCAATTTTCACTATTTGTTTTCTTTGCCTTTTAGCATGGTGACTGAGTAAATTTCTTAGGGGATAGCACTCAAAAGCTGTATTTGACAATCTAAGTGCTGAGATAATAGTTTACTGCACTTCTTCACAAATTGGAGCATAAGGAGGACCTCAGAAGACTCATGAGCAGACAAATTAGGCAGAGTTATTGTTATATAAATACCTTTTCTATTTCGTGTTCTCTACAACTGACGTTTAGGAAATGAGAGGATAATTACAACATGGTATCTTAACATAGAGAGACTGCATCCAGACAGAAGCATACAAACATAAGGCCTGCACAGGAAATGCTTATGATATTACTCTTGACATTACTTATCAGATACACATTCTTGAAGGTGATGGCAGTAGAATACACATTGCCAGATTCTACATATTTCTGACAGTTGCTTGACAAACTGAAATGACCAAAATTGATTTTGAGACACAAGACAAACCCACTGGTTATGCTTCAGAGATGAGTATGAAACCATAAGGGAGATGAGGAGGAGGAAGACGATGAATGTAGCAACAATCTTCTCATGAATATATTATCATGAATTTCAAAAGCTTAATTGCTTCTTAAAGTTTATTTGAGAATTACTTTTTCCATTTTTCATGTATATTTTTTAAGTATTTTCAATTTTTATGTGTGAATTAGAATTCAGGTTTTTAATTTCAACCCCATAAAATCCCTAAGAAATTTTGTCTTTCTCATGAAAAATGCTGCCAAATTGGACATTGATCGTTTTTTATTTCATGTATGTTTTAATATGATGGAGCCCATGTGTTCATTCTGTGTGTGGTTTGGTACCTCTATTCAGAACCTGAGCAACAAGCCAGCTCTACAGATCTGGCCATCCATTTCAAAGTCAAAGTGACTAGCTATTCCAGCCTTCCTCTGGAATTGGAAACACTCATGAGTTAAGAGATGGTTTGTCTGGATTGATGATGACAACAAATCTCTGTTGATGTTGATGGACTCATGACTATGCCAATTGGAGGTCCAGATTGGAGTTTCTCTTCACAAGAGTAATTTTTCCTGAATATGGATAGCTCTCTTCCCTTTTTGAAGCATGACAGATAACAATGAAGACTGCCTTTGTTCTCCAAAATTTAAGGGAACAATATATTTTGTGTGTCACACATGTTGTATCATTTGGTACTTCACTTTATGAAATACTAACTGTAGTAATAACAGGGAAAATTAATCTGCCTTATTTTTATGCCATTGACCAATATAGCAGCTTGAAAGAAAGATTAAAAATTGTGGAAGAAGTGAATTCCTCACTGAGCATCTCACAGTCCCTGTATTGTGTCATTCCTATATAGGGGAAAAGAGAAGAAGAGATTGTAGGATTCCCTGCAAACATTACCAGATTTTTGGTGTGTGCAGTCTCTTTTTCCTGTCCCAATATAATGGCAGTGGGAGATAATTTACCATGTTGTTAGAATCACTGCTTTTCTTTAGTTTTACCTGAGTATATCTGGATGGCAGTGGTCATCTCACCATCCAGATACCATATCAATCCACTTTCACATTCTGACAGAATAAGCACCAACATCTTACTATCATGGTAACATATGGAGTATGTTTTACTTTTTGATGATGTGATCCACGTTGCAAGAGTAGTGTTTGACAGCCAACTTGGGAAGAATGATGTTCAGGTTTTTCATAATGTGTGCACTTAATGAGAAGCATATTGCATTCAAACACCTTATATGTTGCAAAATGATACAATCCTGACTTGCACTAAGCATGTCACTCAGATCCATGGCTCATGAGAACACTCCCTTGAGAACACAGAGAGCTAGGTAGTTTCAGATAGCCCTTAGAGACAGAAGCAGACACATTCAGTTTCTCAAATGTAATGCTGATGAACCTCAAACCCTATACTTAGAGTCATTGAGATCCATCCAATTGAATGTGGAACAAATTTTTTTTGTTTCACTGGGATACCATAAAAGGAAGTCTCTAGGAGTGCCAACATGTGTTGAATGGGTAGTTGTACCTAAAAACATTTAATGAAAAGGAAACTATAGAGAATCTTTTCCTAGTGCACTGCTAATGTTCAGAGTTCTCACTCATAAACTTCAATGGAATGAAAGGCTGCCTTGCACTCCTCATGTTCTTATAGGAAACACCTTCCCTTCTGAGAAAAGAAGTTTATATCTCATTTACCAGTACAGATGTTGAATATTCTGGAAAATATACATGTAGGGATGACATCTAAATTGCTGTTGCTGTGAAAGCCTACAGCAGCACCCCAAGCAATAAACCCTGAGATGATACACATGAAAGAAATAGTGCCTTCCCAGAATTATCTAAATATTGGCATAAGTATCATAAAGAACCTCTGATATCCTTTCCTTTAACACATTCTCATTATAATGCTACAGCCAGGTATAGAAGAAGTCACAACAAACATATCTTTAGTACACATTCCATAACCTGATTGTGTCTGAGGACCACTTCTTCTAGCAGTTAACGGTGGACATATTAGTTAGCACACTTCAGTTTTTGACACTTTTACTTCTATTTTGTTGCAGGTTGTAATGGCAAAGGCCTCCTACCCTTCAGGCATGAGAGGTAAGCATTGAATCCTATTCAGTTGTGCACTATTGGTGATTTCAGAACCTCAGAATCAATGATTTCAGGGGTCCAAGGAAAATTTTGCTGCGATTTCCCTGTCTTGGCATTTATGTTTTGATTCACAGAATGGTGATCACATTTATCCCACTTTAGTCCATTGGCATTCAAGGTCACATAGCATGGAATTCCCTTGTCAAGTCACCTGAAATAGTAAACAAATAATTACAGATCCCTCTGGGCTTTTTCATTGGAAAGACCTCAGTTTTGTGAATGGCATTTTGTAAAATCTCTTTTAACCACCAAAATCCCAGGTTTTCTTTTCTTAGATAAATAAGACATCTTAAATCTTAACATCACTCATGATTTCCTATTTCATTCTTCTTAAAATTTGGTTCCTCAGATGCCCCTTTCTCCACATTTGTTCTTGCTCCCGAATTCTGAGAAATACAAAGGGGAGTATTGGCTATGAATAGCCCCAGATAACTGAGAATACACGTTAATATTTGAATTTTCTGTTTTATCTGGCTCTGAACTCTAGGAACATACTCTCAGATTTTTCAATATCTGTGTTCTTTGCCTGTTACAGGAATGACCGTAAGTATATTTTTCATGTGAAAGCACCCAAAACTTGTATTTAACTATTTTAGGCAGGAGATAAAGTTGTACTGCACTTTTTCACAAAATTTGAGCATATGGTGAACCTGAGGAGGGTCATGATCAGACAAATTAGCAATAATTAATGTTACAAAAACTTTTGTTTTAGGGATACCTACAACTGAACTTTTGGAAATTTAGAAGAGAATTACATGGTGGTAATTGACCATAGAGAGACCTCATCCAGACAGAAACACACAAACCACAATGACTGCACTGAAAGGGCTTCTGATATTGCTTAGGCTTTACTTATCAGGATACACATCCATGAAGTTAATGGAATTCGAATACACACTGCATGATTCTACACAGTTTTGTCTGTTATTTGAAAAATGAAAAATCCATACTGGATTGTGAGACACAGGACAAAATCAGTGGTTATGTGACGGAGCTGAGGATGAAATCATAGGGGAGATCAGGAGGAGGAGAAGGAAAAAAGTAATAAGCATCTCTTGATGTATATATTATATGAAATCCAAAAGATGGAATGCTGTTTAAAATTAATTGGAGAATGACCTTTGCCGTTTTTGATGTGTTTTTCTTAGTATTTTATCAATTTTTAATGTAAAGCAGACTTCAGTATATAAATTGATGCCATCAATACTCTGTGATTTTTTTCTCTTTTATAATTAATTCTGGGAAATAAAATATTGATGACATTTCAATGAGTATATGGTTTATGAGAAAGGAGACCTTTCTATATGTGGTTCAGTAAGTATGTTCAGAACCTGAGCAAGAAGCCAACAGCACTGTCCTTACCATCCATTTCAAAGTCAAGGAGAATACCTATTCCAGATTTCATGTAGCATTGGAACGACTCATGAGTTAAGAGAGGGCTTATCTGGATCTATGATGAGAACAAGTCTCTGAGTACGGTGATTGACTCATACAAATGGGAATTTAAGGTACAGATAAGAGGTCTTTTTGACAAAAGTAATGTTTCCCAAATATGGCTAGTTCTTTTCCTGTTTTAAGAATGATACATGACAAGGAAGTCTAGCTTTTGTCCCCAAGATTTTGAAGGAATAACAATTATTGGTGTGGCAAACAGGTTGTATCCTTTGATACATTACTTTCTGTAATACTATACAACAAGATACAGTAAACCTTGTTTTTAAGCCATTGACTAATACCAGCTTGAGAAATAATTAAAAGATGTGAAAACAGTGAAATCATCACTTACATCTCATGGACCCTGCCATGAAAAATTTCAGCATTGGGGAAAAGAGAAGCAGATACTGGAGGATTACCTGCCAACATTACTGAGAATTACCATGGGGACAGTCTCATCCCTTTGTCCTTAACTTTCTACAGATGGGAGAATATTGACCTTGTTGTTAGAATCATTTCTTTGCTTTACTTTTTACTAAATATATCTGGATGATAGTGGTCAACGGTTACCACATCAATCTGCTTCCATATTCTGACAGAATAAGCACCAAGTTGTTACAATCATGTCAATAAATGGAGTACATTGTACTTTTTTGATGGTAAGGTCCCATATCACAAAAGTAGTAAGTGTTTGACACCCAACTTTGGAAGTATGAGATACATTTTTGCTATACTGTGTGTATCCAATGAATACCACATATCATTCACACACATTGTATGGTGCAAAGAGATACACAACTCTGACTTACCCAAGGCACTTCACTCAAATCGATGCCTCTGAAGAACACTCCCATGAGAACATAAAGAGCTAGGTAGTTGCACACAAACCTTAGGAAAGGAAGAAGACACACTCTGATTCTCAATTCTAACAATGATAAACCACAAACCCCATTCTTGTAATAATTTAGATCAATCCAAATGAAGACAAAAGAATTTTTTTGTATTTTGCTGGGATAACATGAAAGTAACACTTGGGAGTTCAGATTTCAGGTGCGTTCAATAGATACCTTCACATAGTAATATTTAATGAAAGGGATAATGAATAGGGAAGCTTATCCTAGTCCATTGCTAATGTATACTTTTCTCCCACAGAAACCATCAAGGGAATTAAAAGTTGCAGTGCACTTTGTATGTTCTTGTAGAAAATGCGTCTGTTTCTGACAAAAGAATTTTCCTTGAAATATGTTATTCAAGCTTCTTGCTATCTCATTTATGAGTGTGAATGCCTAATATTCTGGAAAATATCTGCTTTAGTTTTAAGAAAGCCATATAAATCACTGTTGCTGTGCAAGGCTTCAGCATCCCCCCCAAGTAATAAACGTCATGATAATAAACACAAATGGAAGAAGTGCCTTGATTGAACTGCCTTAATCTTGCCAAAAATATCATAAACGGCATCTGGCTTCGTTTCTCTTAACATAGTCTCATTATGAATTTTTACCCATTTGTAGAAAAAGTCAGAACAAACATATTTTGGTATAGATTTCCTATCCTCTGTCAATATTCAGGATCACTTGCTCTATCAATTCAAATAGAGAATTCTTTACACATTTCCATATTTACAAATTTTTGTTTCTATTTTTTTCAGGTTGGAATCACAAAGATATCTTTACACATCAGGCAGGAGAGTTAAGCATCGAATCCTATAGGATTGTCCATGTGCAACATTACTATGACTATAGTTTAGAGAACCTAAGGACCTATGACCTTAGGCGTTCAAGGAATAGGATTTCTATGATTTCCCTGTCTTGGCGGTTATGTTTGGATTCCTGGTAAAATGATCAATTTATACCATTTTACTCCACCGCCATTTTAGGTTACATAGAGTGGAGCTACCATGTCAAGATCACTGACAAGGCAGCCAAATATTATTGTATCCTCTATGTTTCTAGATTTAAAAGACCACAATTGTGTGAATGGCATTTTCTAATATTTCTTTTAACCACCTCAATGTGAAGTGAATTTTTCTAAGTTGAATTTTCTATATTAAATCTTAGTGTCTCCCATGATTTCCTATCTCATTCTTCATTAAGCTCCCTCCCTCAAACTCCAATTTCAACACATCTATTCATGTTATCTAATTCAAGTAACTGACTAAGGTGTCCTCTTGACAGCAGTGAGGTTTCTGGAATATGGCTAGCACACTTCCCTTTTGAAGTGTGACAGACAACATTGCAAAATGGCTTTGGTATTTTGATGTCATTTTAAAGCTTTAGAGTTTGCATCTCCTACCCAAGCTGCTGTGACATCATAGACTGGCATTTTGTTTGATTTTCAAAACTTTGGATGTTACATCTCTTATCATAGCATACTGATAGTGTTATAATTGTTATACTAAATTCTGATTGTATACAGGACCCCTCCATCCAATGGTGCTGATCTGGTATTTAAGGGTCAAACCACTTTTTGCTTTGTGGATTTGCATTCCCATGATGTATGGATTCTCAGAGAATTTGTCTAGAATCTGAAACTTTTACCGTAATTCTACTGCTCTGGACAATATTTGTAAAAATTAACTGTGTTGTTTCCTCAGTCCCTGTAACACTTTGGTAAGGGGATCTATTGTTTCTCCGGTTTATGAGTCTTATGACAAGAATTAAAACCTTCTGTACAGCAGACAGACAACAGGTGCTCATCATATGTAGCTTGAGTCTCTGGATAAGCTTAGACTGTCAACATTAATCTTTTTTTTGGTTTTTCGAGACAGGGTTTCTCTGTGGCTTTGGAGACTGTCCAGGAACTCGCTTGGTAGTCCAGGCTGGTCTCGAACTCACAGAGATCCGCCTGCCTCTGCCTCCCGAGTGCTGGGATTAAAGGCGTGCGCCACCAACGCCCGGCCCTCAACATTAATCTTAACTTGGGGGAATTTGATAGCCTTTTTTTAATCCCTGAAGATTGAAGGCTTTTGCTCCTTTCCACAATTAAGTGCTCCATTCTATGTGAGACAAATTTTCAAGGACAGCTGATATTCATTGACCCCAATATTTGAGGTAACTCTATTGCTCCTTGCTCATGTATTTACTTATTGTCTAATGTATGATGAGTGCATGTCATAAAAGGTTATTGCCTCCTTGATGTCTTTTAGATACTTATTTCTAAATACAGATATTAGATCTGTATTTCTTCCCATTGATATGTAATGAAGCTTTTTGGGTGTTGTTTCATGCTGTTTTATCATTCATAGCCACTGGAAAAGGTATAGCAGAATGCAAAACAACCTAAGGAAGGTCTTACTGGCTGTTGAGTGTTGTAGGTAATTTTAAAACTTTTTTCAGGCCCTATTATTTGTAGCGCATATTCCAATGTATCAGACTGAAGGTCTTCTAAGGCATATAATTTATTTACCATTGCTCTTCAGAGTGCTTGAACAACCTGGACCATACAAGTTATTAAATATTTTACAGATTTGGTCAGTTTCTTGTTCTCATTTATATAAGACTCTCCTCATTTTATGTGATCCTAAATATTTAATATTCGTATCTTTAGAGATTGTTTGAATGGCATGTAAGCTGCCTTCTTGAAACAATGTTCTGCTAGCTTATTATTATCTTCAGATGAAGAAAAAATTGTGTTTTCATTTTTCCAATCTGAAGTTTCTGTCTTTGATTTTTATTAATCCACTCATTAGACATGGAATGAGGTGTTTCTGCCAGTCTGTTAGTTTTATTTTGCATTCTTCCTATTATGGTCACTAAAGCACCAGACATAGATTAAATTCTGTCTTCTAGTTGGACATTTTTGCATTCCATGTTATGAATTATTTTCATTAGATCCTTGTGGTCATATTTAATATGCTCAATGCTTTTATGTAAGTGTTCCTTGCCTCCCATAATGTTTGTCATATACCCATTGATGCTTTCAATATTTTGAAAATGTCTCTGTAATTTGTCAGTATTTTCTCGTAGGATCTATGTGTTTCCACAAATTCCTTGTACTTTGCTAAATTCTCAAGCCCTTTATTTACAAATATGTACTATGAACTTAATCTCTAGTATTTAATGTAGGTATATTCTTTGTAAGTCATAATCCTCTTCCCAAATCCAATCCGTATAAGAAACAAAAATATCCCTAACATTCTGCCCTGTAAGATAATCTGCCATTGTCATAAACTAGTTAATATTAATTATTATTACTAGCTTAAAACACAAGGAAAGCTATGGTTTCTGTCAGAGATATCCTCCTCTGAAGAATGTGGTGTTTGTTTTTAATTGTAGGTTATAAATTGCAGTAACTATGTTTGTCCAACAGAGGTTCGGGTGTACACCCAAGCAGAATCCAAATTCTGGATGTTTACTCTGTCCCAATGGAGTTTCTGAATTCTATGTGGCTTTCACATAAGTTTAGAATGACCTGTATTTTGTTAAAAGAAGGATGAAAGCAATCCTCCTGTAAATCACTGGACTTGTGTGGGAGGGGGAGCATGGGTTGAGCACAGTTGCAGCAGTGGGCAGGTCTATGTGGGTCTCTGGGCATGCTGAGCAGCCAATTTCAGAGCCAGAGTTACTCCTACTCCAAGCATATCTGCTTATGCTCACACACACATGGACAAGAAGTAGAGGAGGAAACCCTCTAAGTCCTGGGAGAGCAAAAGAAACAGGGAGCTGGAGTTCGGCTTGCATTTGTGCTCCATCAACACAGCAGGGAGCTGGTGGCTGGGATTTGTGTGCCAAGTGATTAAGCCACATCGATGAGACCCCATTCAAATTGCAAATTCTGGGGACCTGTAGAACTGAAAATTAACATACATGGCATAAGGACAAGGTAGTTGAATTTTGTTGGGGAGAAATCACTTACAAGAGAAACCCATAACCCATGGTCACTGCTCAAAGGCACCACCCAGGGTCTGCTACCGAGGGGAACAAGACATAAACACATCAAAAGTGAACCACTCCTCACCAAAGCACTAATTTTTACACACTCATACTCACTTGTGGTCAACACGAAACATACTTGATCTTGTCACAGAAGACTACTCAGATCTCTGCCTATGGAAGTAAAAGCATAAAACAATTAAAAGGTTAAACTTACCTGCGTTAGTAGACAGGCCACCACTTACAGTTTTGAAAAGGCATCCCTTGCCATTGATTATCAAGTGTCCCCAATTATTCTGCTCGAAGGAATTGGGTGTTCAGACACTGGTTATGGCAAATTCTTCTGAACCTGACATGCCTCTTCTTGAACCTCGAAAGGGCCTTGATGAAGAGAACTGATTCTCCTCGAACTCTTGCAGGAGATTAAAGCAGGCTGACCATATGTCTGAAACTCACTAAGGCCAACCCCATATGATGTTTTTACTGTGCTGGTAAACAGCAGGATTTGTGTTTCTCTGTCAGATATAACTGTGCCCTCTGAGTACCTGGGACTATGATGACAAACCATTGTCATGAACTCAGTTGATGATATAAAAACCATGCTCAATAGGATTACACTGAGGCACATGCTAAAGGACAGGGAAGAAATGGGGGTCTAGTCTACTCAGGCCTTTCTCATAAGCCAGTACACAGGCCCTCATTCCCCAGCAATGTTTCCCAGTCTGTGGAATCCTGTGAGGTCCAGGTCCACTTCATCAGGAGAGCACTGAGTGTTATCTCAAAAGGTACTTGTTGTGAGACTCTACACATGGCAAGACTGCCACAGACCATCTCACTGCTCATGGCACCCTCTTCTCTTCTGACTTTCAGTGATCTAGAATGTTGATTTGTAGCTCCAGTCATGTTACCTTCTGATAAGTGGAAAGATTGTCCAAGGGCCTTGCTTGTTTTAGGTACTCGGGCTTCACCTACTGAAATGGATGACCTTCTAGACAACCAATTACATCCATAGAACCAAATGCTAGCATTGTCTTCCTTTTGGGAATGCTGTAGAACTCAGTCCATGAGTCCAGGCTGGTAATCCAAACTACCCTGTCTTAGAGAATTCCAAAGGACATGACCAAGAAAATTGGAGCAGAGGTTGCACGAAGGAGTTGGAGCACAAGGATTTGGGTAAGGAAATTCAATTCCTCAGCCTTGCAAAGCTCAGTGATAGGTGAATTTGATGTTTACTTCCTCACCTTCAGCTTTCTACCAACCTACCATGCATGTTGTTAGTTCCAAGGTAAGAGCTTCATGTTCTCATTGTATTAGATGGGTGACATACTCCCAACTTGCAAAGATGGCATTCAGGAATGTCTACTATGAAGGCCCTGGACTTCAGGGGGATCACTAGGTTACTTTTCTGAAGCTGATTAGAGAGAAAGAGACTCACAATATTCTAGTACACTAATGGACATATCAGTATAGAAAACTCAAATGCCTTTTATTTGTTTAGGATTAGTAAACTTGTCCTGCCATCCAGGCATCAGGGAATATGAGGCAATTCAAGAGGGTACATCTGGCCAGCCATTCCTTTCTTTGCCTAGACACACAAGTTCATCATCATGTGGAAACCCTCTCACCAAATATCAGTGACATGGAGTTGCAAACACATGAATGACATCACAACATACAAAGGTTTCCTTTGCTCATGTGACAACCAATGTGTAAAAAGAATGGTTGTAGGGATCTCAAGCAGGCAGTTCTTGGCCAATTAAGAACCTTGAGGGTAAGCATCCTACTGTGGTGATTAGGCAGTAATTTCAGAGGAAAAAAGGATAGCACCGTGCAAACTAATGCAAATGACAGGTCTTGGACCTTGTATGACACAGTGCATGATCCAAAGCTAAAATGATTTTACCAGACCTATCATATGTCTTCCCAATGGTCTGTCAGCTAAAGCTATGAATTCAGGCAGTGAAGATGAGGGTGAATCAAGTGAAGGATTAAACTTGACTAGGGGTGGCAAACAGGTACCAAACTTTATCTACCCCATGGCATTGATTAGCAATTGCCCGCAATTATTGTTCTTGAGAGTTTGGGAGTTCAGAGCTGGACATGGCAATTCTGCTAACATTGACATGCCCCCTTTAGCACCCCAAAATTTGCCTTGACTAAGGCAATGGATTCTGTTTGATCCCTTATAGCAGTGTAATGCGGGCTGAACATTTTTCAGAAACTTGCTGAGAACTACCTGCTAGATTGCATTTGCCATCCTGGTAAGCAACACTATATGTGTCCCATTATCAGGTATAGCTGTGCTTTCTGAGGACCTGGGTCTCTGATGACAAACCAATGTCATGAAGAGAAGTGATAACATAATAATCATGCTCAATAGGACTTTGCTGATGTGCAGGCTAAAAGACAGGGTAGATATGGTGGCCTAGTCTCCTTGGGTCTTTCTCATAAGCCAACACACAGGACCACATTCACGCAGCAGAGTTCCCTGTTGGGGGAATCATGTGAGGTCCAGGTGCTCTTCTTTGGAGAGCACTGTGCCTGCCTCAGAAGGCACTTGTTGTGAAACTCTACATGTGTCAAGGCTGACAGGCATCAGCAAACAGGACATGTCCATCTCTTCTCTTCTGCATTTCAGTTATCCAGGATGTCGACTTGGTGCCCTACTCATGAGACCTTCAGGTAAGTGGAAGATCTCTGCCTTCAAACATTAGAAAGCATAACCTTCTAGGAATCCAGTGACAATTGCACCACAGAACTTGTGCTTTCCCTTCCTTTTGGGAATCCCCTAGCCCTATTCCCATGAATAAAGGATGGAAGTTTAAGCCCCCTTGTCTTCTAGGTAGCATTGAGATACAGAGCAGTGACTGTACAGGGAGGTGGGACAAAAGGATTGAGTCAGAACGTTCAGGACCTGTACCTTGAACAGTTCAGTGATAGGTGAATGTGATCTTGAAATCCCTGCCTTGGGGTGTGTCTATAACTCCCATATTGATTGTTACTGCTGGGGCAAAAGCTTCATGTTCTTGCTGTGTCAGGAGGGTGACATGCTCCAAACTTGCTAAGATGACACTCAAGCATGTCCACTATAAAGGCTCTGGACTGCAGGGAGATCACTAGGTTGCTTTTCTGGGGCTCATAACACAGACAGGGACTCACAGTGTTCCCTTGCACCAGCGGACATATCAGTAAGGTAAACTCAGATACCATTACTTTTCGTCAGTATTAGTGAATTTGTCTGCCATTCAGGCATCAGACAACATGAGGCAATTTGAGAGGGTGAATTTGGCCAGGAATTGCCTTGTTTGCCTAGATGCACAGGCTCTTCATCATGTGGACACCCACATACCACACATAATTGGCATTGGCATGAAATTTATACCACATTAATGGCATCCCAAACTGTAAAGTCTTCCATTTCATATGTGATAGGGAATGGGCCAAGAGAACAGGTGTAGGGATCCTAAGAAGGCTGTGCTTTTGCAATTAAGAACCTTGAGTGCACACATCTTACTATGTTGATTAGAAAGTGATTTCAGAGGGAAATAGGATAAAGCTGTGCAAAGTACACTAGAAGAAATGTCTAGGAACCTGTATGACACAGTGCATGAACAGAATCTAAAATGTTACCACTTAACCTATAATATGTCTTCCCAATGGTCTGACAGCTAAAACTATAAATGCAGGCAGTTTGGATGAGAATTTTGCCATTCAGAAGCTGGACATGGCATCTATGATGACACAGATATGCTGCTTTTGGCACCCAAAACTTTTCTTGGCTATGACAACTGATTCTCCATACAAAATTGACTATTCTTTGAAGGTCTGTGAAGAACTGTGCTTGTATTTTAATATGGATTGCATTGAATCTGTAGATTGCTTCTGGCAGGATTGCCATTTTTACTAAATTGGTCCTACCTATCCAAGACCATGGAAGAGCTATACATTTTCTGAGGGCTTCTTCAATTTCGCTCTTAAAAGACTCAAAGTTCTAGCGATACAGGTCTGTCACTTGTTTGGTTAGCATTACCTCAAGGTATTTTATGTTGCTTGTGGCAATTGTAAAGGGTGATGTTTCTCTGATTTCTTTCTCAGCTCTTTTATCATCTGTATATAGTGGGGCTACTGATTTTCTTGAGTTGATCTTGTAGCCTGCCACTTTTATCTGTGGTATACAAATGGACTTTGGGCACCCATCCAACAGTGAGAGAGGCACTCTCACCCTGGACTCTTAGGGGAGTGTCTAGGCCCTGCCATGGATGAAATGACAGACTATGGACCCCCAAAGGAGGGCTTCATACTATGTGGGGAAATGAGCGGATATTGGAGGGGTTGGTGGGAGGGTACGGGAGGCGGGGAGGGAAAGGGAGAGGGACCTGGAATTGATATGTGAAACAACCTTGTTTCTAATTTAAATTAAAAAATAAAATATAAAAAAGAGAACTGATTTTGCTTGATGCCTTTCAGACCCTAATGCTGACTGACCATTTGTCCGAAGCTCACACAGACCTACATGCTAGATGGTTTTTGTTATCCAGGTAAGCAAGAGTGTCTGTGTCCCACTATTAAGTATACCTATGGCTTCTGAGGTCCTGGGTCTATGATGACAAACCAATGTCATGAAGAGAGGTGATGACATAAAAATCATACTCAATAGGACTACGCTGAGGCCCAGGCTAAAGAACAGGGGAGAAATGGGTGCCAAGTATCCTCTCACATTACTCATAGGCCAGTACACAGGCCTTCATTCACCCAGCAGTGTTTCCCTGTCTGGGGAATCCTTGAGGTCCATGTGCTCTTCCATAGGAGAGCAGTTAGCCTGTCTCTGAAGGCACTTTTTGAAGCACCCTATATATGTCAAAGCTGCAAGGCATCAGAACTCTGCTCATTTCCATCTCTTCTCTTCTGGATTTCAGTGTTCCGGGATGCCTACTTGGTGACCCAGTTATGAGGCATTCAGGTAAGTGTAAAGATCAGTCTAAGTAACTCAGTCTCCTTTGGATCTCTGCCTTCAAATATTAAAAAGCATGACCTTCTTGGAATCCAGTGACACTTGCAGCACAGAACTTGTGTCCTTCCTTCTTTGTGGGAATCCCCTAGCCCTAAGACCATGAATGACATCCTGAGTTTCAAAGGCTTCCGTTGCATATGTGATAAGGAATAGGCCAAGAAAACAGGTATAGAGATCCAAAGCAAGCTGTGCTTTTTCAATTAAGAACCTTCAGGGTACACATCCTACAATGGTGATTAGGATGTGATTTCAGAATGAAATGGGATAGGACTGTGCAAAGTACAGCAGATGAGAGTGAGTTCTTGGCCTTTTAAGACACAGTGCATGATCAAAAGTTAAATGTTTTCACCAGACCTATAATACACCTTCCCAATGGCCACTCACCTAATGATATTAATTCAGGCACTTAGATGAGGATGAAACAAGTGAAGTGTTCAACTTGTCTAGGGGTGGCACATGGGCAGCCACCATTAAAATTTTTGAATATCTCCTGCATGACATTGATTAGCAATTGCTCCCAACTCTCATGCTTGAGTGTTTGAGCATTCAGAAGCTGTGTATTGTAATTCTGGTGATACTGACTTGCAGCTTTTGGTGACTCAAAATTTGCATTGACTAAGAGTACTGATACTTCTTGATCCCTTTCAGGGACCTAATGCCGGCTAACCTTTTGCGCGAAGCTCACACAAATCTACATGCTAGATGTTCTTTGTCATTCTGGTAAGCAGCAGTGTTTGTGTCCCATTGTCAGGTATACCTATGCCTTCTGAGAACCTGAGCCTATCATGACAAACCAATATGTCAGGAATAGAGGTGATGACATAACTATTATGGTCAATAGGATTACTCTGAGGCCCAGGCTAAAGGACAGGGAAGAAATGGGTGCCTAGTCTCCTCAGGCATTTCTCATAGAGCAGTACACAGGCCCTCATTCACACCACAGTGTTTCCAGGTCTGGGGAATCCTGTGATGCACAGATGCTACTCTTTAGGAAAGCATTGGGACTGCATCTGAATGCACATTTTGGGGCACTGTATATATGTCAAGTCTGCAGAGGAATCAGCACTCTGCTCATGTCCATAGCTTCTCTTCTGCATTTCACTGATCTCAGATGCTGACATGGTGCTCCAGTCATGAGACCCTCATGTAAGTAGAAAGATCAGCCCAAGTGCCTAGGTCTCTTTTGGAAATGTTCCTTCAAATATTGAAATGCATGGCCTTCTATGAATCCAGTGACACTTGCAGCACAGAACTTGTGCTCTCCATTCATTTTGGGAATCCCCTTGCCCTAAATCCATGAGAAAAAGATGGCAATTAAAACTGCCTTTTCTTGTAGAACTGCAAATAGCAAGTATTGATAAACAGATCAGTGACTGTTTGGGGATGTGGGACAGAAGGATTAGCTCAGGACATTCAGGCCCTGTCCCTGGCAAAGCTCAGTAAGAGGTGAATGTGACCTTGAAATCCCTTTCTAGGGTATCTCTCTATAACTACCATGTTGACTGTTACTGCCAGGACTAGAGTTTCATGTCCTCGCTGTGTCAGGAAGGTGACATGCTCGGAACATATAAAATTGGCACTTAGGAATGTCTTCTATGCAGGCCCTGGACTGCAAGGAACTCACTCGTTACAGTGTTCTAGTACACACACACACACACACACACACACACACACACACACACACACACACATATATATATATAAAATCAGTAAGGAAAAATCATATACCTTATCATTTCATTAGGATTAGTGAACTTGTCCTGCCATGCAGGCATCAGGCAACATGAGGCAATTTAAGAGATTGCATATGCCCAGCCATTCCCCACTTTGCCTAGATGCACAGGCTCATCATCATTTGGAGACCCACTCACCACACATCAGTGGCATTGAATTTCAACCATATCAACGACATCCCAAGCTGCAAAATTTCCCTTGCTCTTGTGATAAGAAATATGCCAAGAAAATGGTTGTAGGGAACCTAAGCAGGCAGTGCTTGGGAAATGAAGAACCTTGAGGGTACACATCCTAAAACGATGATTAGCCAGTGATTTCAGTGAGAAATGAGAGAGTGCTGTGCTAAGAACAGCTGATGACTATGCCAATCTGAGGTCCAGATAGGAGGTACTCTTCATAACAGTGATGTTTGCTAAATTGGCTAGCACTCTTCTCTTTTGAAGAATGACAGATAACTGTACAGACTGCATTTGATCTCCCAAATTTTAAGGAACAACAATGTTTGTGTAGCAAACATGTAGTATCCTTTGATACATAACTTTATGTAATAATAACTGTAATAGTAACTGCAACAAGCAGTCCACCATATTTTTAGGCCATTGACAAATGCCATCTTGAAAGAAAGAATTAAAAGATGTGGAAGCAGTGAAATCCTCAATAAGCATGTCATGGGTGCTGCCCTGTGATATTCCAATTTTGGAGAAAGAAGAAGTAGTGTTCCTGGGCACTATTACCACGAATTTAGGAGGCTGCAGTTTCTTTTTCCTGACCCCAATTACTAGCAATGCTAGGTAATTTAGTGTCCTACGCCATAGTCTCGCCAGCAAGAACGTCACAGGAAACTCGGATCCTTCTGCAGTAAAGCTTTAATGCATCTTGAGAGACAGATGATCAGCTTCTGAGAGGGAGACCCCAAGCTAAGAAACCCAGCCCCTTATATAAGCCTAGGAGCTCCGAGTGAGACGTGTGGAGCCGGGATTGGTGGTTTGCTCATCACCCCAGATGACGCCACGGGAGAGGCAGAGCTTAAACAGTGGACTCCAACTGACAACAGATGTCGGTGCCATCTTGTAATGGCGATAGTGATAGCGAGGGCGGCTCCTCACATCTCCCCCTATTCATTAATTTTTGAAGCCATAGGACACCCACAACTTTGGAGTGGAGATAGAGGTCAAATCCCCATGTGCAAATTTGGAACATGTACAAAGCTCCTCTCCAGGGTCTTATCCCCAGAGGTAGCCCTGACCAGTCCCGATGTCATTTTTCAGGGCGAAGGAGATCATGACATAGAACCTTCATGCAAGATGACTTATCTCCCAGGAGAAAGTCATTATACCGCAGACGTCTCCTGTGCAGTGCTTAGCCTTGCAACTCCTTGGGCTGCTGAAGCCTACCCACTCTATCCCGTGCAATGAGACTAGCCTCGTGGGGTGCAAGAGGCCGGAGGCCAGCGACCTATTGCTTTAACATGGTTAACCAAATGTCAGGGGAAGCTCTGTGTTCTAAGGAAGCAAGTGCTTGTGCCACCACCACTTTGTCTCTTTTTGTTTGGGCTCTAAGATTACACACCATCCAAAGCATCAACACTATTCTACAGCAGAGAACTAGGCTAAATAATCACATCCCCAGAAATTCCTTAAAATAAGAAAATGCAGATGAAGATCCAGACGGGTCGAATTCACTTGCAGGATCGCCACTCTCAACTCACGGAGTGTCTGCTCAAACTCAAAAGTCCGATTCTGTAATAAATGTTGAGACAGAGCTTTTGACAGGTCACCTGCTCTTGTAAAATTCTCATATTGTACTGAAGTGACACAAAGGCCAGGCAACTTTTGTTCACATCCCAATTGGGCCATCTGCCACAATATATCCAATTCTTCCTGAACCAAATTAATCCGATGGTTTACCAACATCAGGCCTCCTTGTATCTGAGAATTGGCAGTGGACTGTTTATCTAGGGCCATGGTCACAGTGGCTGATAGTTCATTAATGGTTTGAGTTGTCTGCACAGTAGCGGAAAGTGCAAGGGCCGAGGCGGTAACTGAAGCAGTAACCGCGGTGGTGGCTATCAGGCTGACAATAATAGCAGAGATCCCAAAATCTTGCTTTTCCCTAAACAAACTCAAACTACTTGGTGCCTCAACAGGAACTGGAACAAATCGAGGCATGCGCATTACCAAAGCAAAAGGGTGCTTAATAGCATCCCAGCATAATGCATAAAAACAATTCTAAGCAGAGCAATTTATTTCTTTCTGATTCTTACCTAAGGTATCATTACTCACAAGACAAATAAAGAGCGGCCAAACACAAATAGGAGCAGCTGAATAATTAGTTCTCTTAAAAGGGGTATACTTAACATTGGAGGAAGACCAATCAGATGATCCAGAGCTCTGTCCCTTACTCAGACTGTTGCCTAATGCCCCTTTCAAATCAAAAGTAATCTGTCCCTTCTCACTATATCCTCCAGCAATCATTGCCATAGGAGAAAGATCAGTAAAGCTTCCATTAATACCGCAAAGCAACCATTGATAAAAAGGATTAGCATTAGATCTTTCTAGATCCATATGAGTAAAATTATCCTTTAATGAAGAAATCACAGTAAAGAACAAGCTTCCTACCAATGACAAGGTTCTCTCATCCTGAAAACTCTGTATCTGAGGATCCAAAGACAAAAAGGCAAGCCCCAACTCTCTTTAATTGTGAAAAACCTAGGGAACACCTGGGCATTATGCATCACTGGCACCGGTAGGGGGAAGGTAGACATGAAGGCCCACCGTAACTCTCCCATCATACTAAGAACCATCATCCCGAGTAGGAGAGTCTTCATCATCCACTTGGCCTCCATCCTACTTATTCTGGAGTTGTGAAGGAGCTCTTCGAGTGAGTCTTTCAAGGATCCACAGGGGGTTTTCTTCCTCCTGTGGAAAAACACACACAGCTCCCCTGGGTCTTATAAGAATAGGATCCAGGCCTTTCCAGAGACCAGTCATTACATCTTTCCATTTTACCATTTCTTTTGGCCTATCAGGATCTAAACTGTGGCGATCGGCTGCAGTGTGGCCTTGGGCATCAGAGTTCAAGAAATTAAGGGTAAAAAGTGCCATGGACACAGCAACTCTTGGTACCGAGGGTAGAACATCCTCAACACTCCCCTTTTGTTTAATCAGATATGATTTGAGTGTACGATGGGCACGTTCCACAATGCCCTGTCCTTGAGGGTTATAAGGTAGGCCAGTTAGATGGGTAATATCCATTTGCCGACAAAACTGTCAGAATTTTTGAGAGGTATATGCTGGCCCATCATCTGTTTTTAAAATTCTGGGTTTTCCCCCCAAGCACTCCAGGCCTCAAGGCAATGTTGAATCACCTGTGAGTCCTTTTCCCCAGTTAGGGGCATGGTGAACATTACTCCAGAACAGGTGTCAACAGAAACATGAACATATTGAAGCGTTCCAAAACAGGGAATATGAGTAACATCCATCTGCCACATCTGCAATGGTCTAATTCCACGTGGGTTTATTCCCACATGGGGAGCAGGTAAAAATTCGCAGCAATTCTGGAATTGAGTAACAATTTCCCTACCCTCTTTCCTGGATAGAGCAAAACGACGGCGCAAGGTCTCAGCTGTCACATGAAAGCACTGATGGAATACTTTTGCTGCTTGTGCATGGGTAGACAAGGCAGCGGCCACCAGCTTTGTAGCCTTGTCCACTAAGTCATTCCCTGAGGACATGGGACCTGGGAGTCCAGAATGTGCTCAGACATGGTAATGAAAACAGGACATCTCCTATTTAACAAGGAGCTTGTGTCTTCTGAAAGATGTTAGCAACTCTGCTGGAGGATCTTATTATTCCAGCTATCTCAAGGAGATTAACTGTACTAACCACATAAGAGGAATCTGATACAATATTGAGGGATCCTGGAAAGGCCTCAAGAACCTCCAGTACTATCAGACCTTCTAGAACTTGAGGTGAAGTTTCATTATATTGTTTAGATATAACCCTATCCTTGACCACATAAGCTCCCATACCAGTTTTCGATCCATCAGTGTACACCACAGTCCCATCTGGGAGTGGGTCTTTAGCTGTCACTTGTGGAAACACTATAGCCTGATTTAGGGCAA